AAAAAAAAAAAAAAAAAAAAAAAAAAAAAAAAAACTTAAGTGTTACTTTTTATTATTGTATAAGAGCGAAATATAAATTGGAGTTCAAGTATGTATTTGTTGCCCTCAGATGACAACTCTGGTGAACTTCACACCACAGACACTTTTGTCTCTCCCTCAGTACTTATTATTATTATCGCTGTTTTTAACCGTCCTTATTTCTCACTTCTTTTATGTTCCATTTTACAAGTCGACAACTTCAATAAGACAAAATCACGGTCCAAAGAATAGCACCATCTCAGAAAGAATTACTTTTGTAGTTCGCAAGATGTTTAAAGATAAAAGTTGCTAGCCTTGCCCACCTCTACAAGATGGAGAAAAAACGTGCTGTGAAGACTCAGCAACGACAGTGCGTGAAATTCATAAATTCAAGATCTGAGAATGAATGAGAAGCAAACAGCAGAGAATTGAAGGAAAAAATCACACCAGACAAAGCTTAAGCATAACCTCCAAGTGTTATAACATAGTAACCACAGGCGCATCTTAAAATTTAAATTCAAATTTGCCGCAATTGTTTTGTGCTGCGTATACGGATTTCATTATAAAAACGCTTGTAAAAAGTTTTTTTTAAATAACTATTATGCTGCTATATACAATGGATGAGCGGGTGTTTTCTGAAGTGAGCAGTCATAAGGTACGTCAATTGGAAATAAGCCAAAGAAAATTCTAGCGTTCTGACAATCAGCTGTGTGCTTGCGACCGATCACTTCTTTCAATAGTCGAGACACCGTTTAGTTGGTTGCTGTTGGGCAGTGTTTGTTGTTTTGCTTTTCGATTTTTTTCATGTTTTATTGTGTTTATGTATAAGGCTGTTTTGCCTTCGCATTCATCATGTTTGATTTTTGATTAACTGTCGAAATATATTTAATAAAAGCAAAAATTTTTCTGGTAAGTTGGTGGGTTCACTGAAAGTCAAATTATTAGTGAATGTTTGATTGTGACCTTGTGGTGCGTTCATTTTCGTATTTGTTTAGTATTATTTTTGTTAAAAAATTTTGTCGTTTGTTTTATAATTTTCAGCTCACTTGTCGTGTTCAGTGCACTTGACAAAATGTTCGGCAGAGACCCATTTGAAGATTTCCCTTTCGGGTTAGTTTTCCGACACGCCAGACTGTAAT